GGAGATTTTCGGGAGGGGCACTGAAATTTGGGATTCTTTCATTTCATGTTTGGCACTGATCACCACCTGCACTCATGTATATATCTTTCTACGTAGCACTCATAATTCTTATTCTCATGTATATATCTCATGTATATCCCATGCACATCTTTCTTTCTACATAGCACTTTAATTCTTATTGTTTGCACTGAAGCACCGCAGCAATTTCCTAATGTTGTAAACCTCAACATCTGGCAATAAACCCCATTCTGATTCTGATTCTGATTCTGATTTCTGTAGCCTATTCCCATGTGACTTCTTTGCATGGCGAAGCTTTAACCTGCATTTGTGGATACCACAGCAACCTGTGCTCATAGACTGTGATTTCTGGCAGTGTTCCTGAGCACAGTGATGTCCACGATAGAGTGATGTCTGTTTTTAATACAGTGCTGCCCGAGGGTCTGATGATTACAGACATTTGTCCAGATTCTCTGAATCCTTAGACAATATTTTGTTCCGCTTTTTCACTTTTTCATTTTCATTATTATAGTTAGTTTCCTAATTGCAGAAGATAATAACATAAACTTTATAGGGCTGAACATCACACAGGGTATCAGAAGTATGAAGACACTGTGACGATCAGAGTTAGTATAAGCCTGTACACTCTGAGTAGTTTTATTGCTTTTTATTATTTGATCATGTTTCTCTTTAGTGTTTAGTAGTAGATCTTTTTCAGAATTTCAGTGTAGATGTTAAAATATAAATACAGCTTATTCACAGTGTTTAGTTATCCCTAGTCAAAAATAAAGGTTGTGAAATTTGACCAAACTGATAAAGATATTATGTATATTTTTATTTCAATTCAATTAGTTTTACATGTCCCAATCCAGCTAGCACTGGTTTGTTTCATAACTGTTATTATCGTTTTTAAAATGATTTTTCACACCTTGTGTTCAGTGTCATGTACCTAAAATTTAACCAAAAAATTAAACAAGTGTCACAGCAAATGGATATTTGCCACTAAAGTTCAGTAAAAGGAATAAAAGGGAGGGGATTTCACTTCAATTCTTAAATTAAAACAATATTTTTTTAAAAATTGACTCTTAAGGGGTCAGGTGAGATTTTATTCCTCAAATTTGGTTGATTATATATGAAATGGCCCAATCGTCATGATTTTCAGTACTCATTTGTAGACTAACACGTGAAAACTCCGGGCGAAGTCATGTTGAACATTTCTGAATTATGTTTTAAGTATGTTTTTGACGTTGCCACCAAAAATGCGGTTTCTGCGTTAGAGAAAAAGAAGCCATGTGTTGTTTTGTCCTTTTAATCTGTGCTAGTAATACATGAGTGACTGAAATTATTTTTCATTTCTGATGAAGAGCCATCAAACGCCTAATTCTTGATCTCCTCTGGTTGTTTTCAGGACCCGTGTGAGGATAAAGAGGCAAGAGGAGAGGTCACAACAACGAAGGGACTTTGCTCGAAATGGAGCAATGTGTCTTGAGGTGTTCCTGTTCAGTGTAAACTACAAAAAGGAAGCAACCACGAGTACGGAGGAACGATTGGCAGACGAGGGAGGTGGTGGTGGAGTGGTGACTTTGTTGTCCAAAAAAAAGGTGTTATGGGTGGGGGGGCATTTGGGATGGCAAATGGAAATGAGAGCAGTGAAGGGCCTGTGGGGCCAATGGCAGCAGTGGTGGCTACTGCAGAAGGCATGGTAGCAGACAGTTCATCCTCCGTTATCTCTACGTATATTAAACTGGTGCTACTTGGGCTGATCATATGCATTAGTCTGGTGGGGAACTTGGTGGTTTCTCTGCTTGTACTCCGGGACCAGGCTCTGCATAAGGCACCTTACTATTTCCTCCTGGATCTGTGCCTGGCAGACAGCATTCGCTCAGCTATCTGCTTCCCCTTTGTGCTGGTGTCTATAAAAAATGGCTCAGCGTGGACCTACAGTGTGCTCAGCTGCAAGGTGGTAGCCTTCATGGCAGTGCTCTTCTGCTTCCATGCTGCCTTCATGCTCTTCTGCATCAGTGTAACACGCTACATGGCCATTGCACACCACCGTTTTTACTCGAAGCGCATGACATTCTGGACATGTGTGGCGGTAGTATGCATGGTATGGACCCTATCTGTGGCAATGGCATTCCCGCCTGTTTTTGATGTGGGCACCTATAAATTCATTCGTGAGGAGGACCAGTGCATTTTTGAGCATCGCTACTTCAAGGCTAATGACACACTGGGCTTCATGCTAATGCTTGCTGTACTCATTCTAGCCACACATGTCGTCTACATGAAGTTACTTCTCTTTGAGTACAAGCACCGCAAGATGAAGCCAGTCCAGATGGTGCCAGCTATCAGTCAGAATTGGACCTTTCATGGGCCAGGAGCTACAGGCCAAGCAGCTGCTAACTGGATTGCGGGTTTTGGTAGGGGCCCGATGCCACCCACTCTGCTCGGAATACGGCAAAACTTGCACAACCAGAACCGGCGACTCTTAGGCATGGAGGAGTTTAAAGCAGAGAAGCAGCTTGGCAGGATGTTCTATGTGATCACATTACTGTTCCTGGTGCTCTGGTCTCCCTACATAGTAGCTTGCTACTGGAGGGTGTTTGTCAAGGCTTGCACAATACCACACCGGTACCTCTCCACCACTGTGTGGATGAGTTTTGCCCAAGCAGGGGTCAATCCTATCGTCTGCTTCTTCCTTAATAAAGACTTGAAGAAAGGGCTCCTTTCCCACCTACCAGCCTGCTGCAGGACTAAACCTCATCTGCCACGAGAGCCTTACTGTGTCATGTAACTAGAGATGATGAAGAAAAAAAACAATGGGCAGCCTACAGATGTATTGTATATTGTGCTTGAGTTATTGTGGCATTTGATGCAATGGAAGGTATTTTTAAGCAGTGAGTGGCAACTTGTGAGTGTAGTGTTAAAACACTGGAATGGTAAGCATGTATTTCCATCTGTCAACCAATTTTCACTCTAAATTCAACAGCATACATGAGGTCAGATCTTGACTTTTGATAACAGGAGAAACATACATGTAAATAATATGCAGTCACTGGGAAAACCAAGACAGACAAATAAACTAAGCTTAAGATTTTAAAAAAATGCCATTTAGAAAAGTCTTGAATACAAAGGATGTTGGGCTTGTGACAAACAGAATCCTAAAGGACGTAATAAATCCGCTTTTAGTCGGAATCTTAATGTCATCATTATACTGGAATAACTGATGATTGTCCAGCAGCAGTGGCTGATGAGAGTAAAAAAGTGCTCAGCTAGATTCAAACCAGCATTCGTGTTGACTCACCAGTTTTATTAGAATGTCAGTTTTAGTTCACAACAACATAAAGTTTCCAGAAATACAAACGTTAGTTCAAGAAAAGATGTGGAAGGTTGTTTAATGCATTTAGCTGGTGATTACATTGTTGCTGAGTCATATTAATCAAGTATCAACAGGTCATTTATGATCAAATGGAGGTACAGTGGACCCCACAAACACCTTTTAGTGCCCCTGTAGTGGTACGGTACATGGCACCGTTCACAACTGAAACATTTTAGATTGACTTAAAAACATGAATAAATAACAAACTGAGACTGGAGAAACCAAGAATTGTTATCCAATCCTCACAACAAAATGCCGTCACATTATAGGGTGTCGATGTGTTTTCAAGTTTCAGTTTTGTGATTTAACCATCAGTGAGGACGCATAAAGATGACGAGGGTGTGCTGTTGAACACAGATTTTAGCAGGACTTGTAAAAGTCAGAATAAAGGGAGCTGCAGAAACATGCTAACAGACTAAAAACCAAAGTAAAACAGGCGCTGCAGAGTAAATGTACCGTAAAGAATTGATGCAGAATCTCAAAGCAGACAGAAGGATTTTCTTTCCTCAAACACACTGTTTGTTTGCTAGTCACTAAAGCAAACCTTCAATCTGTGTTGCCTAAAACATATTCTCGTTGTTGCTCATTAGCTCAACAGAAAATGTGCAGTAGGGGATGCTTTTCAAGCTTTGAACATTTGCAGATAGAACAATTATTTGTTTTTTCATGTTTTGTTTTTTCCTAAGGACAAATCTGAAGTTACATCTGCATCTGTTACTTGAGCAGCTTCACCTTCATTTTAAAGCAGAAAGACGATTAGCTTTACCAGGCGTAGCAACCCAGGATTTTTTAACCCTCAAGCGACCAAGCCATTTCAGTTGGTATTCTAATGACCGAGTGTGCTATCAGGAATACTTTTTTATGATTTGTTTGTGTATTTCACACTACTACTGTTTCCTTTATCCATGTTAGATATTCTGAAATGCTCTGTTGTCATCAAGTATTGTTTTCAACCATTTTTATGCAAAAAAGATTTAAAATACATGTTGTACAAACAAAATGACATTTAAACAGTCCTTGTCTGTTATTTCTTAAAATACATACATGAAATAATTTTTTGGTTTCAGTGATGTTAGAAAAATAATAATAATATGGAAGTGAAGGATGTTTAAGCTATATGAACTATGTGAATGATGCTTTACAATATAGTAAAATAATTTCAATGCCATAATTCTTGTGATCAGTGACAAATTACAGTGCAGAAGTTGGCATTAAGGATATCTATTTATTGTTTGGTTTTAGTTTGACACAAAATGTGGGGGATTCTTTATGATCTGAATTATTAGCTCATCTGGATAAGTGTCTGCTGTTAGTAGCCAATTTATTGCTCCTAGGTGGGTCTGTCCTGAGAGTACACCCTGAATAGATCTAACCACTTTAGCCTAGTGGCCAGCGTTTCGAGCCGTTGTTTGGTAGTTTGGACAGATTTTTTTTTTTTTTTTTTACTTCTTATCCATTCAGGACGTGTCTCTCATGACACCCTTCTGCACCGCTGTTGACCAACTTATTGATGCGCTCATTTCTAATCCTGTCCACCCTGCTCACTCTCAGTGAAGATCTGAACATATTCAACTCTGCCACCTCCAGCTCAGTGCCTCTGTCTCCAAACCACCACAGCAGGCCTCAACAGCATCTTGTAAACTTTCCTTTCACTCTTGCTCCTATCTTATGTCACAAATCACCCCTGACACTCATCTTGGAACATCCTGCCTGCTTTCTCTTCTTCACCTCTCTTTTGCACTCTCTGTTGCTTTGGATGGTTGATGCTAGAAAATAAACTCATCTACCTTAACTACCTCTGTTCTTGTTCACCTTCCCACCCGTCTCACTTTCATTCCTCATACCTGCTCCCCACTGTCACTACAGATCAGCGTTATCTGCAAATATCATACTTCACACAGACTCCTGCCTGAGCTCAGCTGTCAGCCTGTCCATCACCACTGCAAACAGGAAGGGGCTCAGTGCAGATCCCTGATGTAATCCCAGCCCCACCTTTATCTGTCACTCCTACTGCACACCTCACCACTATCTCACTGTCCCCATTTCCTGCACCACCCTCACATACTTGTCTACTACTCCTGATTTCCTCACGCAGTACCACAGTTCTGCTTTTGGTACCCCATCATCTGCTTTCTCTGAACAACAAAGACACTCTGAAGCTCCTTCTGACCTTCTCCTGTCTGACTTCTCTATCAACACTCACATTGCATCTGTAGTGCTCTTTCTCAGCATGAAGCCATACTGCTGTCACCTCCAGCAGTTCTGTCCTAAATCATCATGGTATGGCCCAAAAGCTTGGTCTCTCTGTAATTACTACGGCTCTGCACTTCACTCTTGTTCTTGAAAATCACTACCAGTACTCTTCTTCACTCTTCTCTCACTTCTTTCCTCCTCTCTGAGATTCTTTATTCATCAGCTCCTCAAAGTACTCCTTCCATCTTTTCAGCTGACTCTTTTCACTCATTTCGTCATTCCTCTGTGTTGTGTTCCTCACATACAACTCACTATAAACCTTTTTCTTTGCTTTTGCTCTCTCTTTATCGTATGCCTAGGCTCCAATACTCCTGTCTAGTTTTTAAATCTCCCTGACTATCACACTTTTTATTTGCCAACCTCTTCCTTTGAATAATTTACTGTACTTGCTCTTTGCATCACCAAGTCTCCTTGTCCTCTTTCCTCTGTCCAGAGGTTCCATCAAACACCTCTGCAGTTTCCCTCACCACTTCAGCTGTACTTTTGTAGTTATCACCATTCCACCTGATCTTCTGCACACACAATATATCTACCTTCCTTCTCTTCATCATATCAGCCAACTCTCTCCCATTACCAGTTCTATTCCCTACATTTAGAGTAACAATAATACATTTTATTCATAGGCTCTTGTCAAGACATTCATTGAGACCTTAAAAACCATTAAATACCAAAGTCACAGTAGAGTCCCTACTCTCTCCACATTCCTGCCTATCCTTCTTTCCTGCTGCCCAAAACCAGCTCGATGGGGTTTAAGTCTGGAGACTGTGCTGGACTCCATGTTTTCAAGCTCACCATCTTGTTCTTTGTTCCTGAGGTAGTTCTGGCGTAGTTTGGATCTATGTTTTGGGTCATTATCTTGCTGTAGGATGAATCCCTGATCAACTAGGTACATACCAGAGGGTCCTGCATGGTGCTGCACAATGCTGTGGTTTTGGTTCAGGGAGCCTCTCACTCTGTACAAGTCACCGACCTTGGATCCAGCAAAACAGCCCCAGACCATCACACTTCCTCCTCCATGTTTGACGGTTGATACCACACACTGTGGAACCATCCTTTACCTACTCGACGGTGTACAAAGATCCTGTATGATGAACCAAAGATTTCAAATGTTGATCCATCAGTCCATAATACCTTCTTCTGCAGTAGTCCAGTGGTGGTATTTCATGTCCCAGCCAAGCCTCTTTGTCTTATTCTGACGTCTGGCTTTCTTGCTGCAACTCGTCCTGTCAAACCTGCAGCTCAAAGTCTTCTCTTCACAGTTGAAACTGAGACTTTCTTACTACGACCACTGTTAAGCTGTGCATGAAGCTGTTTTCCTGTCAGCCGCCTATAACACAAGCTGTTAACTCTCAGAAACTTGTCCTCTGATTCAGTTGTGTCTTTGGGTCTGCAGACCTCTTCCTGTCACAGTTTGTTTCTGAGCCTTTGGATGGTGAAGGAAACTGTACTCACTGACACCTTGACTTTCTTTGCGGTTTCTGCATTGGGGCGATCGTGGCTCAAGAGTTGGCAGTTCGTCTTGTAATTGGAAGGTTGCCGGTTTGAGCCGACTGGATTGATAGTCTCGGTAGTTGTGTCCTTGGGCAAGACACTTCACCTACCGCCTACTGGTGATGGCCAGAGGGGCTGATGGCGCAATATGGCAGCCTCGCTTCTGTCAGTCTGCCCCAGGGCAGCTGTGGCTACAACTGTAGCTTCCTCCACCAGTGTGTGAATGAATAGTGGAATTGTAAAGGGCTTTGAGGGTCTCAAAAAGCGCTATATAAATGCATTATTATTATTAGTAGTAGTAGTAGTAGTAGTATTATTTCTCTGTAGGACACACCAACATTTATAAGTGTTATGATGGTCTGTCTCTCTTCCATTGTTAATCGCCTTTTTCTCACCATTTGTGTACCATCACACTACTATCTGCAGTACAATACTGTTCAACTGATGCTCATGAGGGTATGGTACCACAGTGTGTTCCAACACTGCTTATATGCAGACAGAGGGGGTTGGAAGTAATCCAGAAAAGTTGGAACAGCTGTAGGAATTAGTAGCACCAGCTTCAAGGCTTGATCAAGCTCCATTGTTGCAGAACAGCTTTAAATTGTTAATCCATTTTGTGCTCCTGAAAAAGGCCTTTTTGCATAATTCTGAAATGTACATTATTTTTCAGTTTAGGGAACCTTACCCTTTTCTTTTTTCTTTTTTTTTTACCTCTGGCAGTTCACCACTTACTTTTGTACCATTTCAAGCTATTCATTGTACTTGAACGACTTGAATTGCAATAAATAACTGGAAAAATTAGGGTGTTCTAAAACTTTTGATCAGTAGTGTATATAAAATCCCACTCACCCTGCGGACTGTCTTTATCCTTCAAGCTAGGGTCTTGTACCAGAACCCTGGGATCTTTAGGGTCCTGCACAGTACATGTGCTGATCCTAGGACTGCGCCCTTCTGAACAGAGACCTCACATCTGTTTCCAGGGATCTGCTGAAGCCACTCCCCCAATTTAGGGATCACTTTCCCAAGTGTTCCAATTACCACAGGTACTGTTCCCTTCACCCTCCACATCTTTTTGAGCTTCTCTCTCAGACATTGGTATTTCTCCAGCTTCCCATGTTCCTTCTTCCTGATGTAGCTATTACTTGGTATAACTATATTTCATTACAGCCATCTTCCTCTTGGTTAGCCATCACCAGTTTATCCATCTATACCTGGAAGTCCCATATGATGTTAGCTCGGTCATTCCCCACCACCCTAAGGTGTGTACCCCATTTTAACCCTGGGACCTACCAGGCCATGCTTGGCACAGATGTTCCTGTATACTATTCCAGCCACTTGCTTTTGGCGTTCCATGTATGCCCTGCCTGCTAGCATCTTGCACCCAGCTGTTATGTGCAGGATTGTCTCGGAGGTATCTTGGCACAGCCTGCACCTGGGGTCTTTCCTGTTGTGGTAGACATTAGCCTCAATCGATCTTTATGAAAAATGTAAACATTTTTAGAATGAAAAATATCACAGTGTGACAAACCCTGAGGCACTAGGTTCGTCAGTTAATCTACTTGGTCACTTGAAGGTTAAAATTGCAATCAGGAGGTAGTAACTCAAAAGTAACATTTTATTCATTATTTCTTATGTTTAAAAATGTAGAACAAAGTCAATATTTTTAGTTGCAATGCTGAGTTATCAAGGACACCCATTTAAACACAGGACACAAAGTCATAGCAAGTTGGCATGCTAAACAAGAACATTCCTCTCTTCCCACGTTTAAACACACGAATGTTAGGTTAATTGAGGATTCCAAATTGCCCACATACAGCATGTGAGAACAATAAAGTGCTTGATGTATATTTAAAAAAGTGTCATATGAATGTATGCTATGAATGAAAAGCGCTGTATAAATGTTAGTATCACTAGTCACTTCATATCCCTATTTTCGTTTTGACAATGACCTTAAAGCAGCTGAAAAAGAAAGATACAAACAGTGTCAGCATCCACTTTATATTTATATTGCAAAACTGATTGGATCTAATAGTCATTACAAGAGAGCGTACACTGGAAGACATAGCTATTGCTTTATTTTTGCCTAAATCTAGATAAATCAATTAAACTATGCGTCTTCTGCAACTTTTTACAACTTATGAAGGTGGAAAGAGATCACAGGGCAGAGGTGTTGTCAGTGCATGTCTAAAATCACAGCATACCGTTAAGCCTGTGAGGGTAAAAAGCGTGTTTGTGGTTAGCCCTTTGTTTCTGTCATGGCATATGGCCTTACTTCCATACAAACACCAAACCAATGCAACTGAGTAGCCAAGAGTATAAAAATGTTTCTTCTTCTGAAGTTATTGAGCAAGGAAAGGGAATACTCTGGGCACTTGCACTTTCCATCAAAAGCTGGTGGAGTCACCAGCAGAAAGTGAGAGCATCAAAAATGAAAAGTGACTTCTATTGCAACTTGTTGATACGAGTGAGGTCTAATCTGGTTTGTTGCAGTTTTTCTATGTTCTTCTCCTTTGGAATATCAACCCGTGGAATGAAGGGGAATGATTGCTCTTTCCATTTCCATTTTTGACAAAGCCACAGGAAAGTGTGCATCATGTCTGTTTTTAATTGCCTTGGGCAAATTATCTTTTGTAAATTTACTATGACTTCTGAACTATTTGGTGTGTATTATACTGACAGGTAACTTTGAAATGCAGCGAAAAAGCTTCTTGATTATCTTAGTTTTAGTGTGTGTGTGTGTGTGTGTGTGTGTGTGTGTGTGTGTGTGTGTGTGTGTGTGTGTATTTCTTTCAGCAGGTGTGAATGGGTGCATGTGTAATGTATTGGTTGCATGGATGTAATAGGAAAGTCACAAAGGAAACACATACCATATGCATAGCGCATTTCAGAAATATCACTTCTGCGAATTCTTTCTCAGAACTTCTCTGTTGACCTTTTTCCTGTCACAAAGATATGAATGTGTTTTCAAAACAATGACTTTTAAGTCCTTTTTCAAAACATGTTATTAATTGAATGTTTTTTAGGTTTTATTTGTTTTTTGTTTGTGTATGTATCTAGGAAAAATCTATGAAGCTTGAGCTCAAGATCAAGCATCCAGTCATTCCCAGTGCACAAATCTGGCCTTATCCTGAATGTTTAATTATAAAGTCATTTTCAACTAGAATTCTAAAATATACACATCGCATCACTTTTACATCAAAAAGGGGTCAAAAGGTTGCTATCTTTGAAAGATGACCCCAAATTATCCTGATTGGTTCTTCTTCATATCTTACAATTAAAATACTTAAAGGCTGTAAAAGGATTTTTCTTCTGACCACCACAAATCATGTGGCACAGTGGTTGGTTTCCCATGTTCTGTATTTAAAAGAGGGAAAATAGGTGATTGAGCCATATGCATGTCTCTGGCAAGTTATGATTTCTGTTGTTGGTTTTGTAATGAGAATAAATTATATACTTGAAACAATGAGAACATGGTTATGATTATGAGTAGTTGGTATCAACACAGTTTGCTCTGATGTGATGATTTCATACTGTGCTCAGCTTTGCTATAGCTGACGAACAGTGATGGTGGTGATCATCGTGGGCAGCACAACTGTTCTGACAGTTCATCAAAAACTATAAAAACCAGCAAATATATTTAGTTTCATTTGCTGAGAATTTGTGTTTTAAGCTAACACTTTACACTTTGTTCAGCTAATTGTTTAAAACCTCCAAAGATGTGAGTCCTAATATGGAGTGGTAAAACTCGCCTGTAAGTGATGTAATCATATCCTGTTCCCGAAACTTGGTTTCATCTGCTCAAAGTTTGTCTTTGTTGGGGTTTTTTTTTTTGTTTTTTTTTTTTGAGAGCTGTGCTTTTACATATTTTCCTGTTCTTTAGTGTAGTCAGTGGTTTCCATCTTGCACTGTGAATTCTAGTAGCTTTGCTGACTTAACTTTAACAAAATAACTTAACTTTAACAAAGGTTAAATTAACTTTTGTTGATCTGTGGAACCAGCACCCGAATACAGGAAGTCTGAATCAGCTCTCTGTTTAAATAGTTTGTTCTCTGATCCTAGGAGTATTATCGAGTAGGCAGCACAGAGCTTGGATGGAGCTGATGGGCAAGGGAACTCGCCCAGTTTATTCTGCCTCTGTCCTCCGGATGTCTACCCCACCTACTCGGATAAAAAAAAAAAAAAAAGAAAAAAAGGAAGAAGAACATAGTGAGTACCCTTCCAGGCCCTGTCTTCTACCAGCCACGCGTGTTCCAGTAACTCCGCTATAGATCAGTGCTTTGACTAGGTTTAATTC